ACATATTTATTTTTAATAACTTAAAAACTAACTGAAATTATTTGAAACAATTTTATAAGTAACGTATAAATAACCGAAATGAGATAGTTCAAATTGTTGAAATGTGTCAACCTATATAACTTTTATTAACATTTTTGTTAGCCGACACTACTCAACTTACCTTATTGGGAAATACAAAATGTGCATGAAAAATCATACATCCTTCTTCATTAACATTTGAAATCATACTGAAATATGAATTTGAAATTGTTTTTCATTTTATCTTTCCTCCTACCTTTCTTTCTTTTTCGTGCAACAGAATTTTAATGGGAACCTTTTTAAAAAATGTGTATAATATTCTGAGATTTTTTAAAATATTAAACTCTTTTTTACGTAAAAAGAAAAAAATAATCAGAAATATGACACGATCAGTAGCGTTTAAAGAAAAAAAAGGTGAACGAAGCCAAAATTTCGTAATATTTCGTAAAAAAAATTGAATATTGGGACTTGTTAGATATAAAGACATTAGACAAGGTATAAGAAAAGCGTGCTCGATTTTTTCGATACCCGATTTAATTTAATTTTACGTCTCCACTACGTATAAAACGCATTTAGGGAAAGTGTACAATGTCAAGAGCTTTTACTAAACTTTTTGGAATTTGATACTTTGTAAAATTTACTTCGTAAGCGTATTATTGAAATCACGATTTTTCTTTAAATTTTTCAAAATTAGGAAGTAATATTGCATTTACACCAGAAAATTTTTTATGGAAGTCAAGTTTGATCTATGCCAAAAAATTTTATAATTAAAATTGTGTTAGGAAAAAGCATCAACAGTTATTTAAATTCAGTACACTCTATATAGTAATAATATTTATATCTACCTGTTAAATTTTTAGAAATTCTTCATCAAATTCCCATTCTCGAATTTAATTCTGAAGAGAGTTGTGTTCTGGTATATTGTGTACGTACTCGTATAAATAATGATGATAAATGATATATAATAAAATAAAATGCAATTCAAACACTCTTCTGGTAACTTATATCAATCAACTTAATTCACTTCTGATTTCAACACAAAATTTTTTATGACAATTTTTTATATTTACACTTGAACTCTATTACAGACCACAATAAACTGACGCAATAACGATTGTATACTTAAAAAGTATTAGAAACAACTAACGGGACTAATACCAGTTAACTAATTTAATTTGTCAAATCAAATGTTTAGTTAAAATTTATTATGTTTTGTTTTGTTTGAGAAGAAACAATAATAAAAAACAAAAAAATACTTATGATTCAACTAATTTTATTAGCAAAACCAAAGAATGTTTAAGAAAATCAACTAATTGTATAATTTATTGGAATCAAAAAATGTATTTGTATATTTCAACTAAAGTTTTCGATAATTCTAATAATTAATTAGTAGAAACATCTAATTTGTTTGAATAAATCAACAAATTTAAATCAATGAAATAGTTTAGATAAATTATCAAATCAAATTTTTTGTTTTATCAAAACAATAGTCAATTCAACAAATGTATTTTGTTGAATCATACAATTTACGGGCAACTAATTTAGTTTAGTAAATTTTACTAAAGTTGTTTTTTTTGTGTGTGATATAGAGACTTAAAGTAAGTCACCGCAGGTGAGCACGGACCCTACGAAGTCTTTTAGAATTGTTTTTAAAAATTTGTTTTCAAAAATATTTAAAATTACGAAACATACGAGTAATATTCAAACTATTCAAAAAATTTTTTCAAATAAAGAAAAAGTTTAGGCATAAACAAGAGTTTAAGCATAATATTTTTATTCAAATATATGTACATATGAATGTATTAGAATTGAACATTTTAAAATTTTTCGTTCGAACAGTAAGAAATAAAATTTCAAGTACAATATAATTATGAAAGTGTACCTATTTTTTTAAAGCTGCTAACGAAATATAATATTCAAAATTGTGGGTGAACATATAGAATTAAATTTCTCAAATAAAGAAAAGGTTTAGGCAAAAACAAAATAATAATTTTATTCAAATATATGTATGTATCTATATGTATGCATTAGAATTTAGCATTTTAGAGTTTTTCGCTCGAAAAATACAAATGAAGTTTTAAACCTTACTGACGAAATAATAAAATATTCAAAATAATAACAAATGTAGCATTAATATTCAGATGCCACAAGACATCTGATGGCTTTGATAAAAGCTGGCATTTATTTAACCTTATTTTGATTTTTCGAACAAAAAATATGTGAGGTCATTATATTTTCGAATATTATTTATTTCTTGGTTTGTGTAATATATAAAGTATTATTTATTTCTTGGTTTATGTTTCTAATAATATAAGGTATAAAAGAAAAACGTGCGTGTTATACAAAAATTTTTTTTAGAAAGTCTGAAAATAGGACTATTTCGGGGCTAAAAAGTTCCAATGTCAGATATTTCTGGGACCCTACAGGCAAAACCCTATCTAATGCCTTCTGTCCCATGTGTCTAGCCCTTCTAGAAGTTGTTCTTCCTTCCCTACCTTCTTCTATTTGATTAAATTGCTTAATTCCTATAAAACCAGCCAAAACAAACCATTTTTTTATTCAGTTCTAAATAAAAAAATGTTTTTCTTTTCATGAATGCAGTTTCTTCAAATTTGCATAATTAAATTAAAATTTAAAATATTAAATTAAAAATTGTAACTTTTAAACACAAACTTTTCGGCAATATATGAGCCTGTTAGCTGACTTTATTGGAATAGTAAGAACTACTATCGTGCTACCGTATACAGTAAATAAAATAATTTATGTGAAAGATGTGAAAGTTGTGTAACTTTTAAAACTTCAATACAATTATGAGGTCATTATAGTAGGAAAAATTTAGTGTCGATTTTGACAAATAAAAATATTTAATACTTCTTTATACATATTTAATATGGTACTTTCGAAAAGAGAAACGAAATGATATTGGGATATCAAAAGTTCTTGAGAGCGAAAGTGCTCTTAATAAGATTTGATTTGAAAAGAAATTATATTTTTAAAAACCATTCCAGAATGAAAGGATCACGACTTTTTATGTAAGTTAAATGTATTGCATCATGCATGTGTATCTATATTTGAAATTGAAATCTGGCAGGAATTAAAAAATCCCTTAAATTCGCAATTGAAAATGCATTTGTATACCTTCGCATAACTCTTGAGAAACACTTCATATGATCTTTTGGAAATGGACTAACAGATGCACTTTCTTACAAGTTTTGAATTTATTTTACACCATCACAAACAACGATTTATAGATATTTGAGAATATTAATAGAAATGGTCATACTTTGGGAGATTTAGTATACCTATTTGGTAGTTCTTTATAAAAACGATGATCTTTTTAATGTCGCTCACAAATTTTTCAATTATATTTTGAGCTGAATTCGGATTGTCACAAAACAAGGTTTTGGTCAATAACAACTTAATTATTGAAGAAATGCAGAAAATATGGTTAGATGCAGAAAATATTTCAATTTAAGTAAATCGAACAGAAACTTCTAACGAAAACTAAAGCGAAAAGAAGTGAATTAGGAAATTTTAGGCAGCCTTGGTGATATTTTTGCAGTTTCTTTTCTTACTCAAAATTGATGTCGTTCCTCATTCTTTGTGTGCTTCTTTTGGAAAATTCAATATCTCTTCATTTGTAGTATGTTTATTAGACCTTTTTTTAACTTGAAATATTCACTTCTGCAATCTAACAAGCTTGAAGATTCATTGGTCAATGTTGAAGGACCAGTCACTGGTCCCAAAAACGACGCAAGCTTGTCTTTAATAAGTTTCTACCCTCCCCCAATCCAATGATGTTGTACAACCAACGCTTAGTGGACTAGTTGGTAACCGGAGAATAAATTAACTAATACTACGACACATTTGCAATGAGCGCCGGAAAACAGGGCCGCCATTGAAAACTCAAAAAAAAATTATACGGTGCACTGTCATGCTAGCTGTACAATGCTAAAAAAAAACTTTTTTATGTTGCAAATTTTGTTGAAAAAAAGTACGGTTGGAAAAGTTGGGAAGATATTGCGCTCCATTCATATTTTGGCAATACTTTTTGTGTGAAATCAAAAACATATGTACCTATTCAAAATAATGCCAAAAATGTTGTTAAATATTTTTGGAAAATACATGGGAATTTTTCGAAATCAAGGCGCCGTTCTATGACAATTATTGTATTGAACGACGCGGAGTTTTATATATTTTTAAGATATAATTTTTGTTAGATTTTTGATAGTTATTTTGGTTTCATTTTATATATGAATGTTCTCAATGAATAGCGAATGTCTTCCGATTCTTTCGTTGTCTAACTTGTTGATTAGACAATGGAAAATCGTCTAAACTGTTGTGCAGCTTCTTTTTCAACCGCATTCATTTGCGTACAACGCATAAATTAGCAAAACTGTATGTTTTGAAGTACCTTTTTCAAAGCAGTAGCTTATAATAGATATAAAACTTAATTTTCATAAATACCAAATCATGAGTCTTCCTCATTTGATTGAAATTCTAATTAACATAATCACACTGTACGTGTCATATTCACAGCATGTTGGTGTATAAAGTATATATTAAAGTAATCATTTTATGATTGCATACATATTATATGTGTGACATACGTATTTAAATATGTGCACGCATTGCCATACATATAAAGAATACATTTTAAATTGCTTTGAAATACTCGTTCGAACTTTTGAAAACGTGATAATATGTTTAATTTGCATGCGTCAAAATAAATGTTTTCGTTTTCGAAAACCGAAAGCCAAAGTGGAACAAATAAAACGCCCAATATGAATATGGGTACATATGGTAAACATACACTCTTAAATAAAAATCAGCTTTTTTGTTTACTTTTCTTTTATTTTCTTAAGTTGTGTTAGTATTTTTGTGTTTCTTTTAAAGCAAGAAAACATTCAATATATGTAAATATCTGCTACACAGAATATATTTTATTTCAAAACTGAAATTTTTTACAGATTTATTTTGTTTAAATATTGCAAAGCTTTTCAACATAATTAAAGGTGAATAAGCTTTTGTCCTGGAATAAGGTTACTCTAAAAAAAAAAATTAGTTCGTGCGCGGCAACATATCCTTAACCAAAGTACGAAACGAAAAGAATTTTTAGAAACCAGGATTATAAAGCAGTTATTTAATAATTGCCTTCATAATTATATTTTAGAATTTAGTTAAACTGAAATAAAGTCTGTGATTTTAAAATAAACTTTAAAGTTTACAATAACCTTGTCCAATTGAAAAAAAAATACAATTGATTCTGGAAATTATAAGTTTTGGTTTATAATTTAATAAAGAAAATAAAAAATTAATAGAAAAAAAATATTCAATATTTTTGTGTGAAGAGAAAAATCAATTTGCTGTTTCTTTTCTCTTGTTAAGGTGAATGTGATATAATTGTCTATATAAATTTACATGTATGCCTAAAATTTATATGTAAAATAAAAAATAAGGATATAAGAACAGAATCAAAAATTTATATATTTTCTTTCCCTAGTATTTATGTATTTTAATTTACAGTTTAAAAAACTTAGTGAAAAGAAAAATCAATTTAAAGAAATATTTGTAAAAAATATTTTTTTTTAGTTTTTCTCATCAGTTATTACAAATTCATAACTGTGAGAAAGGAACATCAAGGTAAAGTTGAACTATTGTCTTAATATTTTTCCTTAAAATATTTTTTTCAATTTTATGTTTTAATTGAAATTGTGGATGTATATATGTACGTATGTATGCACAATTTTTGTGGGATTTGTCGCCATATAAAATTTTGTGTAGCACACATTTATTTGTAAGATTCATGTGGTATATGTAAAATGATTTTATACATATGTATATATATTTATGTATTATGCAAAATATATATATATATATTATTATGCAAAATATATAAATATATATATATATATATACGTATATATATTTATATATACGTATATATGTGTGTACACATATAAGTATGTATAATTTGCCTTTTCTTCATGTTGTCTTATACGTGTATACTACATACATATAGATTTGTATGAATATAATACATATCCATATGAAAACGTACATTCTTGTGTACATATTTACTTAGTTATGAGTACATACATAGTTAAGTATGCAATAAATGTACATCTCTTTCCTCGGTTATCAAAACTTTACATTTGTTATGTAATCACGAAAGAATTAAAATCTTGTATATGTTACAAATCTAACAAATAAATGACTAAATTGAAACAGTTTTAATAATTTTGTTAAATTGTTTCCTTTAGTTGTTAACAAAAAAGAAATATGTAGATTACCGAATTTCAATCCTAAAAAACTGAATTTTATTCTGTTAGCATGTACATACATAAATACATATGTACATATGTATGTATCTATTATATAGGAATTTTTTTGAAAACTAATTTGGTCATGTAATTACATAATATGTATGTATTAAGACATCGATTTACACTGTTTAACGTGCTTTAACTTTTACATTTCATTCCAGAGCTATTTTCACATTTACCCAAATACAAAACATGAGTACATGAGTGTGTACATAAAAATTTGTAAAAATATTTAGTTAAAGTCATTATTTTTAACATTTTGAAATACAGACTTAAAGGTTTTTTTAGAAGACTTGCTTTCACACATAAAAATATATCTACAGATAGGATATTATTATGTAAGTACAAATAAAAACGACTTAAAAAATTTTTTTTCCAACAAATACTTTGATCCAAAGACACAAAAGTAATTTGTGTACCAAGATAAGTTTTTACCATTTTAGTTATGCAACGTTCTCTTTTATTTTTACGTTTTTATTTTCTTTTATTGTTCAGCTTCGCCTAATTTTTTCCTTGTCGTCCAAATAACACAAAACAGATATACATATGTATGTATGTATATTGTATGCAAATATGTAAGTATTTAAGTATGTAAACACAAAATTTCTTTTGCCAAAATGATTAGTTTGTAAAAATCACTATTGTACCTACCTATGGCTTTGCATATTATAATTTATCAAATTGCAATAATATAAAAGTTAAAATTTAAGAGATTTTATATTAGACCCATTAAACATATATGTATGTGTATGGATGTGTTTTTTATGTTGAAAATTTTCTTTCAATAATATAAATATATATTATATTCTTAAAATAATATTAAATATGTATAACCCAAACATAATTACATATTATTTCGTATATAAATAAATACATATGTACATATAATTATATGTATTACAGAAGAAAAGTGATTATATTTTTAATCAGTTTCTTTTTTTATAAACATATGTACATATGTATACCAAGTATTTTTCAGTATTAAAAATTTATTGTAGTTTTTTAAGACATTCTTAAATTATTATACATATATTGTACATACATACATAGGTATAATACAGAAAAAATATTTTTCCAATTTTTTTAATGCACTTAAAGTTAAAAATAAAATTTAAACCTTTTATAAGAACTAATTGTAAAATCCTCCTTGTTTATGGAAATATTGTTTTGTAATTTTGTAATTATATGTATTTATGTATGTACTTGTATTTTTTTTATTACGCAATCCTCTAAGAAAGAAATACATGTACAATATGTACATATGTGTACCCATAAAACGTACATATTATGCACATATGTATGTATAAGCTTTTTTCCAAACAATAATAATATAACATGCGATTATTTTGATTGCTTTGACGAAAAAAGAAATCATAGTTTTTTTTTTTTAAATACAATACGACTAAAAAAATTGTAGAGTTTTATGATTCCAGGGTTGACAGGAATACTGACGGAACCTAAGAGAGAGTGACAGTTCACAACTGATGAATTCAAACGTATTCTTATGGGATCTATAGAGAAACCCTTTTAGCATTATAATTAGAAATTTAATTAGAAAAAGTCAAAATTGAATCTTTTGTACTTTAATAGTGCTTATATTCTTAAAGATCTGTGCTATTAAAACATTAAAAAAAAACCTTCCAGGCTCTTTTCATTTATTTAAGATTTCAATAAATGTTACATTACAAGAAAAAAAAATAGTGTAATTTTTTTTTTCTAAGTATAAAGTTGATTTTTGTGCATTTTTTCAAAATGCACACCTGATATTAACAAGCTTGCTAATTATGTATGAAATGTCTCCCACATGCATACTTCTTATATAATCACATATATACATATATATATGTATGTATACATTATATACTCGTATTTTTCATATTATGTATACTATATTAATTTAATTATTATGCTTCATAATTCATAAAAAACATTGCATACATGTTTATTTTTTTATATAAAAAGTCCATATAATGCTTTTTAGAAATGTATGCGATTTAGTTAGTTTTCCAAAAAAAAATTTGAAAAAAGTGTTTATTAGTTTCACTCTGTCATCCGTCCTTCTGTCCGTGTGTCTGTTTATAAAACTTCTACACCCTTGAAGATAAAAACCTGAAATTTTATATGTACATAGATCTTTACTAGAAACTAGTTTTCGTAGAACATAATTTTTACCTATCTCCCCCCTCCAAAAGTAATACCCCCTTAAAACCCCAAAAATGCCATTTTTTAACTATTTACTGTAGTAGAACTAAGTATATGCATTTTGCAAATTTTGCAAACGCAGAAAAACTGTGGGTTGCTTCTTCTATCACGGGATATTATACTTCAACTTTAGAATGGCCGTTAAAATTTACCGTTATATAAAATCCGTTTTTTTCAAATTTTTGATGTTGTTTTTCTTCTAAACCCCTTTGGGCGCCTGTATTTTTAGTAGCTTTTAGGCAATGATAAATAGTTCATTTGGCTAGGAGAAAATTTTTTCCATCTTAACCGCCTCTCAAGTTATCGCTTCTTGAAATTTGTAAAATTTGAATTTTTGACGCCTTATATTTCTGGAACATTAGGTTCATAAAAGCAGAAAGAATTAGATGGCTGGGACATCTATTAAGAACGGATGATGCAAGAGCAGTTGGGAAAGTTTTTAAAGGAGTGTCTGAAGGATACAGGAGACGTGGCCGGCCAATGACCGTCGTTAATTGGAACAATCTTGCAAAGCAGAAAGATCAATGGCGGGCGGTGATAGCAGAAGCTATGGTTCACCCCGGACTGTAAAGCTAAGATGATGATGATATTTCTGGAACCACAAGTTTTTCTAAATTTCTATAAACGCAAAAAGCTAACGGTAAATTCCATAACATTAAAAAATATAATTATTTTTCTTAACTCACGCAATTAACCCTTAAGATCGAGCCTTATGTTAACCCTTCTTTAAAATTATTTTTGCTTTATTTCAACGACTGCATAAATCGTTCATTCTCAATGTATGCAATCCTAGAAATTGTTTCTTATATGAATGAAAATAATTTTAATAGTGTAGTTGGTATACATAGGCTGCATTCAAAAGCAATATTTTCACTTGTCAAAGGGAAAAGTGCTACAATACAAACCGTTGATTTGACCCAACTTTATTTACTCTTAATTCTCTCAGATACGTTGCCTAACATGGCGATACAAAAAGATATTAAAAAAACTCGAAAATATGTTTAGTCAAAATTATAGTAAAATTTTGAGTTGAAATTTGAGTTTTTAATGTAATGTTCAGAAAACTCCAAATTTTATTTTAATATAGATATTTTTAGGTTTTAATCAAGTTTTCCTGGAGAAAACTGGAAATTAAAATTGGCAAAAATCATAATTTTTCCAAAAAAAAATGATTCTCCAGAAATAACATTTCTTCAAACACATATGCAATTTTGGCAAATTCATTCACAAAAAAGGCAGGGTCCAGGCCTTGTTTTTTTGTAATGTCAAGGTCCAGGCTAAAAAAAATACAGAAAAATAACTAGACACCTATTTTTACAGACCGTATTGTGTATATTGGGTATAGGTAGGTTATGTGATGGCATATCGATTTGTCAAATTTTGCATATCGATTTTTCGGTGGGAATGCACTTCTCCATAGTAGGGAAGTCTAAATAAACTATTTTGAGCAACCTGTCACCTGTCACAGACCGTGTGCACGCGTGTATCACAAGTTCTACTGAACCGATTTTGATGAAATTTTATATGTAAGTTTATTTCCACCATGACACGGATTGATTTACTTTTGGGATATATCAGGCATCGGGAATTTTGAACATTTCGAAGAAAATATTCAACCGAGTTTCTTGAAATTTCATATATAAGTTTTGATGGACCGTCCGCGAAAATTGCTATGTTTTGGAAGAAATAAGGCATCAGCAACTGCATGTTTACTACAGGCCAAATATACATTTTTGTGTATATAAAGAGAAATAATCAAGCGATTTCATTGAAAGTTAATATATGAATTCCTCGTATTAAAACAACGAACATATAGATTTTTTTGAAAGATCAGGGCTCGAAAACTGATTTGCGGGCCCATTTTACATTTTTCACCATTTTGTAGAAAATATTCAACCGTTTTACTTGAAATTTCATATATAACCTTTGCTCGACCGTCCGCAAAAATTCCTAGCTTTTGGAAGAAATCAGGCATCAGCAACTGGACGTTTACTACGGGCCAGATATATATTTTTGTGTATATAAAGAGAAATAATCAACCGATTTCATTGAAATTTAATATTTAAATTCTTCGTATTGAAACAATGAACATATAAATTTTTTGAAAAGATCAGG